CCACCGCTGTGCTCTAATGGTTGTTGTCATTACATGACTGTCCCTTCACTTAGCCCTGTATCTGTAATTCTCCCTAGAATAGAAGCAGCCCACGCTACTTTTTCCTGCAATAACAAGTCGACATTTGACCTCTAGCATCCACTGATGCGCTAAAAGCCGAGAGGAGAATCAATGAACCTGGCGTGTCTGAGATGTAGACAATGGTGCAACCATGCAGTTTTGTTTCTATTTGACTTTGTTGTATCATTTAATATCCTTTTAAAGATATGGATATGCATATGGGGCATTAACTTTTGGGTTTTTTTCAGTCTTTTGGTAAAAGTCATTGTATAGTATGTCATTTTTCTGGTGAACTTTTTGACAGAAAAGGTTTTGTTGGCATTTTAACACAATTTATAGTTTTTTTTAATTATATCGGAAAATGAGTATTATTATTTCTTGCCACTTAGTCAATGAAAAATCTCATTATTATTTCGAACAGTAATTTTAAATTTGGAAAATGGATTGACATTGTGGTGAAAGCTATCATTATTTCAGCTGTGCCTCTTAACCAAAGTCAAACGATTCTTGACCGTTTCTTGATAAAAGCCTTTTGTGTTCCAGAATAAAGTTCTTCTCCAGCTCGTCTTTTGACTGGCACTCAGATATGAACCCACCACTTCTGTTGTATTCTCTCTTTATTGGCACCAAGTTAACTTTAAAATCCTCCTTGAACTCCTGTTGTTCAAAGCCGTGCACGGCCTGGTCTCATCAACCCGAGTGATTTGATAAAACCACCCAGACAGAATAGGGCTCTGAGGTCAAATCAAATTTCACTGGAAGTGCCTACAAACAGGTATGAAAACACTGCGGTTATTGGACCGTCTCTGTTGCAGGTTGTGGAAAAAACTCCACCCTGACGTTTGCACCGGTTATGATCTGGGGCATTTTAAATCTGTGAGTACAGTGGTCACATTTGTGATGTTCTAAAGGATCTTAACATCCATCAATTGATTGGTTTCCTCTGACCGACTTGGTTTTATTGGATTAGGATATACTGTAGTGTACGTCTTCAGGAACAGATGACTAATCCTGCAGGTGCCTCTTCTTGGACGTAAGCTCCCGGGCAGATCACTGACGTTAACCATCTAGCACAAATAAACGTTTAGGAAATGACGGAGCTCTAATTACATGTATCACCACCCGGAGCAATTAGCCTTTGCTAACTGCAGATACCACTCTGCTGTAAATATGGGTTTTATTGTTTGGGAGAGTGGGCAGCATTTCATTGCCAGGGAAACTAATAAAACGGCTCCCTCTTTTGTCCTTCTTCCAATATCAGGGATCAAAAGGAAGTCGTTTCACGAGATCAAAATGCCCCTTCATGTTTTGCCATCAAACAGAGGCAGGATGAGAGAAAGAAGGGGAGAGGGGTATGTATCAGAGGAGCTTTTACTAGGCCCCAAATAGGCAATAAAAGATTGAAGCCAGGGCATGGTTTAGATCTGCAGTGGTTATATAACGGTTACTATGTTGTTTAACTGGAGTGAAAGGGTACAAGCTTTTTCTTACGTGCATCAGAAAAGAAACACCTCTAAATTATTTGTTCAAGGACTCGTGGTCTGAGAAGAAGGGAGAAAAAAAAAACCTTGTATATTTGGTGCTGCTTAGAATGCATGGAAGATTCAAAGTCACATCTTCCTGAGTAATTACAGTGATTGTACTGCGGGTAATTCTTGTTTTTCTCCTAAAAAAGAGTGAAAAGTTTTCCTCGGTATTTCCTTGACAACAAGTTAGAAAAGCCACTCAGAAAACAACCAAAAGAAAGGAAGAAAAACAGAACAGAAAACCTTTTTATGTCTGACAGCACTGTAATTAAGTTGTTTTGATAGACAAATGGGTGATCCAGCTGTCAGTCCATCGTGTAGGAAACGATGGAAGGGATCATTTATGACGAAACCAAAATGGATTTTCTAGCCGACCGTCTGTTTGTTCTTGGTTTAAGGTGCTGTAGTAAAACCAGTCCACTCCACACACTGTCAGGTTATGACTCTTCATTTATTTATGATAAAATACATATGAAACAAATACAATAAGTTTTTTTCTCAAATGTTTTTATCTCAAATGTTGACTTCAAACCTTTACAAAAGTTTTTTCAGAAACTGTACACACCGGAACAGTTGTTTTCACCTCTTTGTCGTACAGTTAAATTCACCATTAGGCAAACATTGAAAGCTCTAAACTCCTAAACATGGAATTACTTCAAAAGGTAGAGTCGGCTGTCTGGGGTCTCCAGACCTGCCGTTTGTTCACGACTATTACAGAATGTGTACAAATGTCACTGCATCACAGTCAGAGCTGCTCAGATCATCACAGAACAATAAAAATACGGTCTCAATTTCAATAATTTCACAACATTTTAGTGTCACTGTTATTCATATCTATATATGTATATGAATTAATATATAAACAGTGTCTTTGACCAGTAAACTGTATGTACACAAATGTAAACACACTGTTGAAAATTTTAAATAACACATCCATTACTTACATTTCTCCGACGTAACATGCTACAAGTAAAAATATCTACCCTAATCTTATCTAATATTAAGGGCATCACGGGGCAACAACTGCATCAATGTGTGTGCGAGAAAGATAACAGTACACAGCCTTATTTTCTCTATTTGCTCTGTTGGATTTTTATTACTCTTAAAGAAAGATCTGAGTCAGAGTTTCATATGGCTTCATGTAAAAAGAGAAATTAAAAAAAGATATCGGCAAGTGCTTGTATGTGCATGTAGTTTTTGTCAGAAATTCGGAAAAAAAAAAACTCCCTGAATTGTACAACAATGTCTTGAAGCATTTTTTTTTTTGAGTCACCACTTTATGTCTTTTGGTCTAATTCAGTTTTTTAGACTGTGCTTTACCTGATTGCTCAAAATGTCATTCCAAGTGCTACGCAACACAAACATGATGTGTTTGTGTTTATTTTATTCACTGTGAGAGAAAACTAAAAACCTGGATCACTTCTGACTCAAACAGACATGTGACTGTTGAGTTTGACACCACTCTTTAATCTTTTAGGCTTACTTCAAAGAGTATTTTGTGTTATTTTCATTTTAGAGACGAAGAAGAAACAAACTCTGTTGTATTTTGTGTTATTTTCATTTTAGAGAAACAAACTCTGTCCATCTTATGCCTTTATATTTCTTAGCTATGATTGGTCAGTTGCTGTTCTAGCAAGAGGTCTTTTTATTTTTTATACTGGAAAGTGCACATTCTTAAACGATCTAAAATATAAATTAAGACTTTTTTAAATCTTAAATCACTTGCTTCAGTCTTACAAATGTCCTTAAGATTTTTTCCTAAATTATACATTTTTTTTCAATCAAATAAAAAAATAATTCCCTAGGTGTTTTCTGTTTTATTTAGAACACGGGCCCCAGTGCAAAAAACACAAACATAAAATTATTTCATGTTAAAATTAAACTGAGTTGCCATAAAAAAATAATAATAAAAATAAATACTTTACCGTTACATTTGGATTTGATAATTTATGGGGCGACAATTTACTTTTGGATTTATGGATAAATTTCTCTTGTCTGTACATATGTATGCTACATTTATCTGCTACAGTTGGTCTAAATCTAAACACACTGACAAATAACTGCAGCTGACGTGACTGGTTAATGGTTAATGGTCAGGATTGCACCTTCTGTGAAAGCTGAGTCTGAAATAGATTCATTTTCTGGATCATTTGCTCAGGACTTTATCGTCGTATCAACCTCTGCATTCTTCTGCCAACAGCTAAAATGACAAACTGTGGAATTTAGCGAGTGGATTTTCCCTATACAATATTCTGTACAGCTCAAATTCTCTTAACACGTTTGCCTAAGGTGACTTTAAAAAGGAAAGAAAGTGAAGCAGGAAATATGTTTGAGATTATCTGTGCTGGAGTTCTTTTCACTGCAGCACATTTTAGGTCCAGAGAAATGACTTGTAGGAAACAACCGTCATTTTCTTTTGGTCATTTTGAAAGGTTTATGCAATGAAATTCAGTCCAAGCAAACTGCCAAACTATAGCGTTTGAATATAGTTGCAATTAAGGATTGCTAACAATCTTTTTTGAAAATGTTGTTATGGATATGGATCCATTGATGATGGAGTTGGTTTGTAAATATAAGGAAATGTCATTGTGCAAATAAAACCTCTCCTCGATTAGATGACAATTTGTGCTGTGCATAGCCGGCTCTGTAGAGCTCGAGTCTAATTTAGTCTAAATGCACAAAAACATATTCTTGGTACATCACACCCCTGGGAGACATGTGGGCCACATAGCCTCACAGCAAACATTTACAGTTTGTTTCTATCTGTAAACCGAGGCGACTTCATCACTTCCTTCTACCTGTGCTCTTCAGGGCGTCTGAGGAGGTTTGGGTGACGGACAGGAACCTTGACTCTCGAAGCTCGCTCCTCTGCCTGGCCACTGTAAGGTAAGTGTCACATATAACACCTGGTATTTTACACCTTCACACCAATGATTGGTCAGTGAGTTATTTTGGCAGCCAGATATGTTTAGAACTGAAAAGCAGGAAACCTGTGCAGCAGTCCTTGAATTTGTTATTGATGTTTTAAGAAAATAACTGCATCGTAGATATTAAACAACAACATTAACAGCTGTGGCTGTGGCCACATTAATAATGTATGTTTTCTTTATTGATTTTGGTATGAAGAGCAGGTGTTCTAAGAGAGCCTCAATCACTTGTAAAAAATATAATCTCACTGTCAGGTAAATAGTTAAATCTACATTTGAGATAATGGACAAGTATACTTTAATGTGTTTTAAATGACATGGACAATTTTCTCCGTGTACGAACGTAATGTAAGGTATTGAAGGTGGATAGGTTCAGGTACCTACAGTAGCATCAACCATCCAACGAAATGGACAGTACACAAAAGAGGTGAAGGAAAGACAGGAGGCTGAACTGGAGGCTGCCGAAATGAAGATGCTGAGATCTTCACTGGGCGGAGACGAGGATAGTCAGGAGCAGAAATGAGCAGAGCACAGGGACAGTTAAGGTGGAGCTAAAGTTAGGGCTAAAGTTACAGAGGTGATGTGAAGAATGAGCACAGATGGTGAAGATGTTGGACAAAGGTTGTTAGAGATGGAGCTGACGGATTATAACAGAACTAAATGCAACAGGTTCTGATTCGTGGTCCGTCAGCACTCAAGACGAAGCCTGGACATATTTGTTCTCTTTAGAGAACATTCTGTAGTCTCACTCATCTCCAGGAGCTGCTCCATAATAGTAATACAGAAATAAACCCTGGAGTCTGACTCGTAGTCACAAAATGATCAAATGAGGCCTGAAGTGTTGGAGACATTAGGAACACAGAGGGAACCTTCATCACATATGATTATATTATAATAATTGTTATTTTTAACCAAAGAAAATGTGGTTTTTACCACAGACCATGGGCCATCAAGTCTACTTATCTAGACGTCAGAACAGGAGTTGGAGGGGGGGAAATGATGGATGGAATTAGATCATTTGTATGCTTTATGTGGGTTTTAGGTCTGCGTGCTAAAAGCACAGACAAAGAAAATATAATCATATAAAAGAGAGGGTTTTTTTTGGTGATTTGCTTCAGCCTTTTGCCAACAATGCATATTAATATAATTAAATATATTATATATGAAAGACAATTGTTTGCCAACCTTAACTACGTTTGATGCAGATTGTACTTATTGTACTTAGGACATTTGTCTGAGAGTTTGTCCGAGTTTAACACCAACAGCATGGGCGCAGATTCATAGTGACCCCGATCTGAAACCTCACTTTGTCCATACATAAGGCTCTGTTTGTGACATGTTTGTGTGTTGAAGTTGTACACAGATGTGAAGCAGGTTTGAAGCGTCTCTGATGAGCAGTATAAAAAATGAGTTAAAAAAAAAAGAAAGAAAGAAATGAACCACAAATCCATACCTCTCCAAGAGCGTGCCAGTGTGTGATGGGCTTCCGAGGATAAGCCAACATTTCATTCCAGTGATCCCGTCCAAGACCCTCAGCATCCGGCCCCGCATGACATACTCCGATCACCTCGTTGTGTCCGACCCTGGCAGAAAAGAAAATTAATTAAAAAAATGCTGAAGGTTTATTATTATTATTATTATTATTATTATTATTATTATTATTGATTTAGTCTGGTCCAGTCTTAACTGACTAACGTTCCTCACCGATCATAGTCCATCACAATGATGGACAGACTGACTTGTTCCACGTTCTCTGGGGGGATGTCAAAGATGATTGCCTCGTTGTACACAGGGTTCAAGGTGCTCTTCTTGGTTGTTGTTTTCCGCTTCTTGAGCCTCCGTCCGTCACATATCAGGTAAACCTTGACATATGGGTCTGAGGGACATTCGTAGAGTGTCAGTTTCTTTACATTTCCTATCAGACCTACTGCATGTACTTTCTGCATTGTTCTGGTTTCAATTTCTAAGGATAAAAACTGAAACATGTAAACAAATGTTACAGTGGTTTATTCACCTCACGGAAAAATGTTTGGGGGATTGATATCTGCTCTCTATTGGCTGCTGTTTTCCTTTTGTTGATGTATCTTTTTTTTGACAGTGGTTCTCAATCTGTGGTACATGTTCTGTTAGTGGTACCTGGCCTTCCTCTGGGGGAATGGGCGGGGGGGTCTGATTCCCATTTGTCTGGTGGTGTCACCAAGTTGTATATATACAGTATACCTTGAGTGGTTGCTCAGTCAGTTGTGTGTTTTTTGTCTGAAAAGTCATAAAATTCTCTTATCCATGTGTTGATCTTGGCTGAACATTGAGAATCTCTGCTGCTGTATCTCCATGTTGGTACTTCATACTTGGATAGAAGTTTTAGGTTATACACAGTGACGTTTCATAGATCTGTGACTATTGACTGATTGTAGTGACATTCTAAAAGGATACCTGTGGAGGGTGGATTTCAAAAACTCTTGACCCTAATACAGCTCAGGGAATGTGCGTGGTGGATGTGGGAGTGTCCACTGCCTGGAAAATGAATTTAAAAGAACTTCTTAATGTTGAAATAAATCCAGCGTGTGTGAAGTTAGAGAAGGCGACTGAGTCTCCATCACGTCTGTCTGGTCTCCTGTTTTCAAACACCGTTTTAAAGTGGACCAACAGTCGTGTATCACACATCCCCCCTCCCCCCCCCCCACCCCTGCCACCCACCCACCCACACACACAAAAACCGTCAAGCTGCGGATAATTCCATCTTCTTGACTCGCCACACATTTTCTCCACCCCATTTCCATTCTAAGTGGCCCCCCGTTGTCTGTTCCAGACCAAGTTTGACTCTGGGCTCCGTCTGAGCGTTTGAAGCCCGTCTCATCTTATCTGCTGCTAGCTCACCTGAAGAGCCTGTGATGTCCATGGCTTTGAGGTTCCGACATTTGATGACGGTCAGGGTCATTCTCCCCGCTGTGGGGAGGTAGCACAGCGAGTACATGATCTCCCCCAGGTCGACACTTTCCTGGAGGACAAACACAGAGGGAGGGGTTTGTGTGTGTTTGCGTCGAACGATTCAGATGTGAAGAAGTCATTAAAGGTGTTAACTTTATTTGTGTCCTGGCATTGAATTGCCCAGAAATATTTGAACATTAATCACACATTTATTATAAATGAAGTATTTTATCCTCTTAAAAACGTAAGGGGTTGACAAATATGTCTGCTTTATGCAAGCATGATCCAGAATGTTCTCCAGAATAACTCAGAAATATTGTATACTTCAGAATATTGCAGCCTGATGGAATAATGTTGCACCGTGAGTTACTTTACTTATTTACACTTATATTGAGCTGAGACCCCATTACATCGATGCACTGCTGTGGTCTCTGTGTTAGCATTGACTGTAAATCTGTAGCATTTAACGGAGATTAAAAGCTGAATTCCTCATTGGGAAAAGAATTTTCTTATCCATTTGACATTTTTTGATTGCTTGGCGGCCCACAGTCGCACAGTGGTTAATCAGAATTTAAAATAGTGACATTAAAAGCAATTTGCATAACTTGCTACTTTTGATGTCAACTTTGGCAACCCTAGGAATTAAAGTTGTGATTGCAAATAATTGGTTTAAGTATATCCAAAATGTCACATTGAATATATTGCAGTTCTGACTATAGTAATCTTTAGTAATATATATATATATATGTATAAATATATATGGCCAGTAAACTGCAGTGTGTGAAATCATCATAATTTTTACAGTAAATGCAACCGTTTTTCCAGATATGACATTTAAGCACCAGCAGCCCAAAAACCTGCTCATAAGGGGAGTAGGTTAATTGACCAGTCTAAATTCAGTCAGTGTTAGTGTGAATGGTTGTTTGCTTCAGTGTGTGTCCCTGTGATGGACTGACGAATGTCCAGGGTCGTTGACAGCTGCGATCGGCTCCAGGCCGTAGACAATGGGTGTATGATTGACCTAAAGGACGCAGCACTCTATCATTATTTATGCCATATGTCTCACTCAGTGTGACAATTTGCACTGATTGGCTGTAAAGAGGCAGGTGAGAGGATGAATATAAACAAGCGCTGAATGTATGACTTATGAGAGGTCAAAATACATGCAGTCCGTTCTGTAGAACTGTTTATTTTTATTACACAGTCCATTTTGTCTTCTGTCGCTATAATTACATGCAGAATATCCTGCTCATAATTTTGGAAAATTTGCATCTATGTGTAGGTGTGGAGCTCACGCAGTGCCTTTCCCAGAGCTGCTCTGAATTATGCCGATAATGTCTCCCTCTCCTGATGAATTCAGCCTCTTACGAGTGATTCACAATCACAATGCTGTAGATCTTTCCAAAAAACGCTTAATAAACTCCCACGCTCTACAGCTACACCACCTCGGAGGCAGTTAAGTTAGTGTGCAGTATGAGAGCCAGTGTTTGTCTGTGCGAAGGCCAACTCACTGTAGTGGCTGCGTGGATGTCCTTCCAAACCACCGCCTCCCTGGAAAGATCAGAGAGTTCAAAGAGGTTGTCCACCACCACCTCCCCTATCATGTCGTGACGGGTGAAGCGGTCAAAGTCATACACGCTGAAGTGCAGCTTACGGTTGCACAGCTCGTCGTACACCACCGGGAAACAGAAGGCCTCGTCAAACATGGGGTTCAGGTTCTTGCGATGGACCCGCGTCTGGAACTTCTTCTTCCTCTCTGGCAGCAGGTAGATCTTCACGTAGGGGTCGGAGGTGCCCGTGAAGTCCTTTGCCGGCAGGTCTAAAGCCTTCAGGATCCTCACCACCAACGCCTGCTCCTCGTAGTCGTAGCGCAGTGCAAAGCTCAGCTTCCCGCAGGTCTCCACGGGCTCCTTGGGCTCGCCCTCCGAGTCCACAGACTTCTGCTTGTACAGCTCAGGCTTGATTCTGCCGATGCTGGCCGTCGAAGACTGTCGCAGAGGAACTGTGTCCATGCTGAAGTCCATACTGGTGACATTCATCTGACGAGGCAGGTGGCGCCGGAATGAGTTGTGCCTGTTGCAAAGGGTAGAGGTCGTGAGGTCAGTCTGTCATAAATCACATTTGAGTTGGTTGTAATTATGGTCATTAAAGTTGTGTCTGTGAGTCCAACAGGTTTGGTGTGTAACACTGAAGTATTTGCACCCATAAGCAATTAGAATAATATTATTAATATCACTTCATCTTCACTTGGCTTTGAATCAGGTGATTAGTTGTGGTAATTAAAAAAACTAGCCCATAGAGGGCGCTGCAACCTCAGGATAAAAAGATTTTATTTTTTTTCTGAAAATTTTCTGAAAATTCTGATTGCTAATTAATAAGTTAATATTCTTTGGTTTGACTAATTAAAGTTTCACTTTGAATAATAAACATTTTAAACTCCTTCAGTATCTGCACAGTCTTTTAAAGATACAAACCATATTTACAGAATAAAATTAAGGCGTAAATCATTAAAAAGAAACCAGAAAACATATATCCTTAAAAGACCTGACAAAATACAGCAATGGAAGTAAAAGGATTACAAATAGTACTGCATTTTATTTCATAACCATGTGCATAATTCATTACCATATATACCTGAGATATATATATATTTTTTTTTGGGGGGGCAGAGATTTGTCATCATCTTACATTATGGACACATTAATATTTATAGACTCTTAGTTATGGCAGTGTGAAGGGACCAGGCCTGAGGAAATTGTATTTTCTAACATTTTGTGGAACAAAGGATTCATAGATAATGACAGTCCTCATTACTTGCTGACCTGCGTTGCCTTATCTGGTTGCCTGCCCGTTTCCTTGCAGTGAAAATGACATTTCCTTTGAGGCCTAATAGGCTCAAGGTTGGCAAACCAAAGGCCTAAACTCTTGTGTACTCTACCAGAATTCTAAAGAAAATGGACAGAATTATTAAACATTAATGTTTGATGTTTCAAGAACATGTGATTCATTTTACTAATAGGCTTTGTGTCTGCCATCTGTCTCCTGTGTACAGATGTTGGCTGTTGGTCCTACAATCAGGTGACTGTGTTTGAGGTTCAGCCTTGGGTTGTGTATTTTGGGGGAAAAAGTGACGTTCTAATCTCTAACCTGGTCTTCTTCTGTGTAATTCATTTGTATCTCCCACTCATTTTAATTCAATTAACAAGCTCCATAACAAAGAAAAGCAAGTGTCAACATCGGCATCCTGCGAGAAGCCGAGCACAGCTGCGTAACGCATCTCACCAGGACACCGACCTTCTGCCGTGACAGCTACCGCCCCACAGCACTGCTAATTATGGACCTATTTAAGAGCCTGAGCTGGAAACCAAAGAGAGGCCAGAGTTGATTGTTTAATAACTGTGGTAGCTCCCCGTCGTTGCCATAGCAGCTTGACTATGTGTGTGATTTTAGGATTTAAAAATACTAGAGTGAAAAGTTGTGCCAAGTTCGTCTCTCATGGCTCTCAATGTCCACCCTGAGACATTTCATGTCAACTACATCCGTTTTATATTGGTTTTAATGCAAGACAATTTTGAAAAAGAAATCTGGTCCTACCATCAAAAGTGTAGGGCTACATCCTTTCTGAATAGAATTTAATAATATCGGCAGATATTATCGGCCGATAATTAAGCAATATCTGTACGAATCCTTATTGTTTTTTCCTTTGATTGAAATATCAAAATCCCAATGACGCAGTGCCTGGGTTTCGCTGATGCTTCAGTGTTCTGAAGAACTTTTATTGAAACACAACTGCAGTAACTCGTTCCAAACTTTACTGCTCTCAACCCAGCTGCTCCAGAAACACCAACACCCATAACTGTTAAGAACATTATCAACTCTAAACAAGCCTCTGGTCACTAGATGGCAGCATTGCAGCTCATTTTATTAATCTATATTGATAATCAGGTATATTTGCAGAATGCTGGCGCCAGCGACTCATACAGTGGTTTGTACAGTTAATATCGGAAATTAAGTGTTTGGACAATATCGGCATATCGGATATTGACAAAAATTTGAAAATATCGGACATCGCTAGTATTTATGAAAAGAGGTTAAAATCCACTTGGGTATTTAAAGATGAACTTATAGCTAAAAAAGGGAATGGTTGGATTTTTGGAGGTCTACCTGGAGGAGGAGGTTGGTTCTGTGGTCTGCCTCTGGATTTTAGCCTGCTGACTCAGCTTCTCCCTCAGGGCCGTTTGCACCTCTGCAGGAATGTCTGGAGACGTCTGGCTGATCTTCATGGCCGCCTCCAGTATCTTGACCGAGGGCCGTCCGTTGGCCATTGCCTCCAGAGGTTGCTTCTTTTCCACCTCGCCCACTTTGGATCCAACATTTGCCGGCGAGTGAGGAGAAGGCACCTCTGGGAAACTGACATGCACACCATTTTCAGCATGGGCTGACAGAGCCTTGCTCCTCCAGATGGGCCAGCACAGCTTCCAAAAGACAAAGAGAGAGACTACCAACAGGGCGAGGCCACAGAAACCTACCACCACAGCAAGGAGACTTATAGAGATGTCTACGAGTAACCATGACAAGACCAGACGAGAAGGACGGAGAAGAAAGGATGGGACGGCAGGCAAAAGGGACAGAGTAGGACAGACAAACATGCAAGGAAGAAAGAGACACAAGAAGAGAAAGGAAGCTGTAAGAAGGAGGGGGCAGCATATCCACCTGTTTGGTCAAACACCACATTTAAAAGTCATTTTTATATAATCAAAAATAAATAACTCTCCTCAAAGTATGGACTAAGACGGTCCACAGAAACCATCTGGAGCATCTGTCTTTTATATGTTGCTCTTGCAAATATTTATATCAAAGTTGCAACATGTAAGAGTTAAAAAAAACTGGGATCTAAAGGATTATAATCAGGTATTCTTTTTTTTTTTTTTTTTAAAAACCCGTAATAAATTAAACAATTTATACTTTGTGCTCAGAGATACATCTTGACTGATGTTTCCCTCTGCTCGGTGTTCCTCCGCTGCTCATCATCCACCTGTTGCTCGTGGACTGAGCTGCAGCGAGATGTTGATGCGTAACAGGTGTAGAATCCTAACACTGAGGCTACACTTGGGCTGAACTAAGGGGTTTTTCGGCAAATCTCTGCGTAAATAAGTGTTTCCAATCAAACAAACGAACAGAAAATATCACGATGTAAATCTGCAGTATTTAGAATATAAAGGTAGTTTTACCTGCGTGTCCGAAACCTGCGTGTCCTATACCTGGAATGGTGCTGTCCAGTGGGAAAATGCCTGCACATTTCTCCCGGTCCACGTGTCCCGTGAGGCAAAGTTCCGTAACGATCTGGAAAGCCCTTTGGCACAGGGTGATGCTGTCCTCTGCGCGGACACTCATGTCTCTCCTGTTAAGCCATTGCACACCGGAGGTACCGGGAGGACGGCGGTTCATTTGGACACTTTTTAGGCGCCGCAGAGCGCAGTAACAGCAGCAACAGCAGCAGCAGCAGCCAGCGCCAAGAGCGCTGCGTAATGATCCATTATCCTGCGCGCACCGAGGAGCGAATGGCGAGACGCGCAGCACACATTGGTGTGGATGACAGGCGGTGGCAGCAGTGGAGGAGGAGGTGGTGGTGGTGGTGGTGACTGTGACGTGGCGCAGGAGACCAACCCTCGCTGCAACCAATAGCTTTGCGCATCAGGTTGCCATTAGTGGAAAAAGATTCCACTCTGCTGGAATGACTCGACTCTTATCTGATGAGAGACTCTCTCCGTGTGTGTGTGTGTGTCTCCGCCTCTTCTCTAAAACACACGCACACATATGTGCACAGGTTTACTCCAGCCCCGACAGGGCTCGGTCCCCTGGGGGCCCCCGAACCCCGTAGTTCTGAAAAATAAGTCATTATCTCCACTCACGCCCGTTAGTCCCACATGTAAACCAGAGCGAGTGTGAGTCAGCATCAATCACCCTTAAACACTCCAGTCTCCAGTCACTCGATTCATTATCATTGATGGTGTAGCAGCAGGATATAAACTGTTTAGAAAAACTGTGTAGAATCCATGAGAGGACACAGTATCTAAAGTGTGTATCTGTGTGTGTGAGACCCTGTTGAATTCTCCAATGTGTTATGGGTTGTTATTTCATGCACGTCTTCTAGAGAGAGTAGGGTAAAAGATCTGGAGGTCCAGCTTCTTTATCCACCTTCCTACCTATCATCATCATCTGTGCAACTGGACATAGGCTGAAAACATTTCAGGAGAAGCAGTTTAGCTGTTGTTACATGGGTTTCCATACATTTTCTTACATGCCTTCATGGTTCTCAAGAATGAAAAAGGACAGTCATCATGAATTGGTAAAAAAGATCTGACACCAAAGTGACAGTAATGAAGACAGGAAGTCTCTTTTACAATTGATAAAAGAGACGACAGAGAATAAAAATCCACGGAGCTGCCGGACTTGTGTCAGGTACTTACACCGCACATCATTCTGCAGTTCTTCTGTGTCTGGATGAGGTGGAAAGGTTGCAAATGAAAAGCTGTTCCCTGAAGGCCCTCCTCTTCTGTAAGATGATTATGTCGAATATAGATCTACAATTTGACCTCGGAAAGAGAAAATTATGGGGAAAAAAACCCACTGGGCCTGCTGGAAAATTTGTTTTAAATGCTAATCCAGATACATCGACCGTTTTTTCTTTATTTGTCTGAACAATATATACTTTTATACGCTAGACTATTCTGTTAAAAAAATAACCTGGAGTAGACTGAAAGTAGAAGATGATTCTGAGGGAACGGAGAGGAGGAAGTTTATAAAGAAGCCAGTGTAGGTGGAAATTACTTTGGAAAAAAAAAAGAGAAAACAAGATTCTTTTTTTGTCATTCATGACATTCCTCATCAGTGGCAGCACAAAAACATGTCACAAATGGAATATCACATATTTTTCTGTATGGGAGTTTGCAGGTGTGAATTTGAGAGTGAATGTTAGTGTGAATGGTCATTTGCCACCGTGTATGACCCTGAATGGAAGACCAGGCTGTGGCCCCCTCGGTCTTGAAGACCAAAAAGAGACATTGTTCAGAAAATCTGTGTGTTCTTACTCAGTACAAAGCTAGTTTAAAAATAATAACATTTGTAGAGTTGTGCTAACAACCATGTACTGAAGAATATGGAGATTTTATTTACTTAAATAGTGACTGAACAGTTTCAATCGGTGGCCTTCGTTTGTATTTTGAGGTTAGTGTTTTCTGACACTTCATCAGTAATAATATAAGTATCAAGGCTCCACTTTGTCGAAGCACTCTGGTGCACTTATGGCAAACGGTGATTACCTCCAGAGGGTTTTGTTCCCCGTGGTTCAGTGCTCCCTCTACATCCCATAAACCTCGGCCAATGTGACTCCCTTGACGACTCGTCTCCTAGACACCAGTCTATAACATATACTGTATATATCAGCTGATGTGTCGCTGAGTATTCAACAGCACATTGGAATAAAACTCTAAAACCACTCACTTCCAACGGGTACATTAAAAAAAGGTTGCGTTCGATAATGGAGGTCGTTGTCTGATTGTTTCCATGCTAACATGTTCCTGCTAAAGTAATCACTGTTCACCCTGTTGGAACTCCATTGAACTCCCAAACCCATAATAGACAGCAAAAAGCAAAGAGGGAGACAAAGTCCAGCTGTGTCTTTGAGTGATACGTAATATTTATAAATGCTCTGTAATTGTATTGCTGTTCTTCTGATGGAGTTATTTTCTGTTTTTCAGAGTAACGTTCTGCGCCTCTATAGTACATACAGTAGTAGACGTTACTACAATAATTAAAATGACCTTCAATTAGTGGCATTCAATCAGTAAGTTTTTTTTATGATCCTATTTAGAGAAACACAAGCTTGGAATATATCAATCTAGATACCAGAAAGACAGACAACAGGAGGCGGTTATATACTGTATGTGTTTCCACCTTAACAGTTTATATATAAGGAGACAACTCAGAGACTTGTCTTATCACCAGTTTCACCATCTGTGTACTGAAGTCCAATTAAAGCACCTGATCAAAAAACTCAGTTGTAGGAGTCTTTAGAAAAACATTTTAAAAAAGGCTTGGTGCCAAACACAGCGTTTAAACAAAGGCACTTTTGTCTATTTTCTGGAGGTCAACTTCAATTTCTTCCACTCCTCATAGGCCTGATTTTAAGACGGGATGCGAACACCATCTGGCACTTCATCACAGCGTTCAAGATTCTCTTGTAATTAAAAGTTTTCTTTTGTGTGTTTGTAATGTGCCTTTGTTGCGGTTTGTTCGGGTCAAAGGGCTTCACACGTTCATCTTCATTTATGGACTCTTACATCATTTTCGTGACTGAGTGGTTTACATGAATGTACTCGGGCAGTTTGAGACATAATTAGTCCTCAGGAGATTGTTTTCTTGTACAGATGGTTACCAAAAAAAAAAAACGACCTGAAATTAACAGCAGTAGCATCAAAACATGTTTTTACTCTCTGTTGCTTTAGTTGTAGCGATCATTCTGTGGTTGTATACTGTAGTAGTATTATTTGTAGTAAATGATCCAATTTCCTTAGTTGAAAATCAAGTCTGAAAACTAGTATTCATTTACTGTTAAAAATTGTCAATGCATCTGTGACAGGCAGGACAATTAAATACCCTTCCCCTGGTTGGCAGCAAAGGGTTGTAAAGACATAAAAAAGAGAAAAACCTAAAGCAGTTGAAGAAGATCGTTGTGTCTTTCTTCAACTCCTGCGAGTATATGAGCGTTGTTTTCAACTAAACAGGCCTAGGTTTCACACTGAGTTAGTGGATTGTGGGTAAATTGAAACAAGAAGGTCATTATATTTCATATATATTTCATTTCACGTCCAAAACTCCACTCCACAAACAGAGGGTTGATGAGGTCGGTTGGGACCTGCGTTATTATATTGTTATGTTTTCTCACTCAACACTTTTGACACAGTCAAATTTATGGCAGAAATATTTATTGTCAATACTGTGTATTCAGACTTTTGCTCTAGTCTGATTCGTTGTCACATCAGCAAGAGTTGTTTTGGTTTTGACCATGTGTCTCCAAACAGGAGGAGGAAGCTGTTTGTAATCATCAGTGTTATGAAGTTGTTATTATTACACGCTGCTAGAGAGTGGTGGTGCGGGGGAGGGGGGGTGTTGCAGCTCGGAGACGTGATTTCAAGACCTGTTGCACCCTCGTCGGCTGACATTAGCAGAGACGTCCAGAGAGAAATGATTTAATAATTAACATTCATGAGCAGGAGCACAGTTGGTTGTCTCGGCTGTTGCAGTAAACATAACAGATGAAGGTCCGCGCTGAGATTACAGCCGCGATTGATTATTTTGGAAAAAGCACAAACATTATCAGGACTCTGGATGCATTGGCACAACTTGGGGTAAAATAGTCCGTCCAGAGTGGGCGTTTGCAATGTAATTACGCAAAACCCAAAAAACAATGTGCTGAAAAAAAAGATCAAGTGGGGTTAACCAGTTAGTGGAGTTGGTGTGTGGAGTTGTGTTGTATAAAACAGGATTCATTTGTCGCTAACTGCTTCAATGACACCCCGGCTGCCCTGGTGGGCGACTCCTGAAAACACTGTGTTGTTAATTATCCTCACAATGCTGGAAGGCACCAAGGCTGGGATATGTTGCCGTTGAGTGCCATTTGGCAGATTTAACAGCCCCTGGAACATGACAGGTGTTGTTTTCTGATGTTTACAAGCCCCTAAAGAGCGGCTCTGCGTGCTCGGTATATTTTTTGAGCTGAGATGGAGCAGAATCATCTGGGTCCTGAAGAGCCGCTAAACACTAGCAGAGATACTAATCAATAGACTTGGGCTGCACTAGTCCCTGAATACTGATCATTCTGACGCTGCGCTCTCTTTGTTCAACGTCGTATTTGTTTCTAACGCATGGTATGAATCTTGACACCTAATGACAGTAGAACTCTGTCCTGTCAACAGTTTCTAAATTTCTGTCTTGGCAGTGTTGACATTTTCTCTGTGGAAGTTCACCAGCAATAATCAACTGGTCCAGTAGGGGGAGTAATATAACACAACACATGTACGGTAGCACTGGTGTTAGGACACTAAATGACCGACCGGATGAGGCTAAATGGTGTGATTAGCTTGAATATCTTAGCATAGCCATCACTTTGATGAAATGGATTGGTGTAAGAAATAAGCTGTTTTCCTATTTGTTAATCCAGTGTTTCTCAACCTTGAAAACAGGTTCAGGTCTAATACATAATATGTGGTCCAAACTTTGTTTAGTCCCTTTCTGTCAGCCTGTCCTGTGTTCTTTTATTGTCTCAGTCTGACTGGGTGAGTCATATAGAGTAACTGGTTTAAATTTTCACTGAAGAAGAGAAAATTAAATTGTGACAAAGTTCTTTCCCCTCATATGAAACAAAGAAAACATTGGGATTAAATTAAACTAAATTAAATGACTGAATTATCCTGACATATTGGATTCAAAGTTAGTTTCAGTCGTAGCTTTCCAACTTTGGCATGACGTTACACACATACACACAGTCTCTTCCTACTACTTGTAGACGTTAACATTGGTTTTTGCAACTGTTCATTTCTCACACGGTCGACTGTATGATTCATGATCATCAGCTCTGGCCTTTACTGTTCTGCATTAGTGCCATTGGCACAGATGACTCTGCACATAATTTTACTAATAGTCTTTGAATCAGCCATTAGAAAAAAAATTATAAATAAAATGTCTCTGTGATGAAAATCAAAGACGCCTGATTTGAGTCCCAGAACAGTATGTCTCATTCTCCTTATGGAGCAGCTCTGATTTAATCACACTTTTCCTAATGGCTCTGCTGTTTAATTAGAGCATTTAAAGGTTAACTGCCAGGTCTGCGCTCAGGTCCACAACAGTAAAACATCCTTCACGACCTCTGCTGCACACACACCGAGAACAGCTCCACCAAGGAGGAGGAGATTCATTCATCACTCACCTCTGCATTTGAATAATAACAATGACCCAGACTCACACACCAATAACCACAGAACACCTAGAACTGCAGCTCACTAAACAGGCGGTTTGCTTTTTGACAGGTGTAGTTTTTATCTTTAACACTGAGCAAAACGGTAAGATTGAACCGTGACCAATAACAGAACGGTTCTACAGTTGTATTGGACTCACACTGGACATGTGAATGTAATGTTTGTTGTTTTATCTCACTCCACTTGGTGAATATGGTTTAGTTCTGTTGCTTTAGGGCAAAAATAATTCACTGGTCCAAGTCACCTGTCTAACCTTTCTGTGTGTGTGTGTGTGTGTGTGTGTGTGTGTGTTGGGGGGGGGGTTCTGTCTCTACAAACCTCAAATGAACTCAAGAACCGTCTAGTCTGTAGCCCATCCTCACGTTTAAATTATTCATTACTTATTACACATCCTGTCATTTTATTACATCAAAACCAAATGTCCAAATCTGATATTAATTTAAGGCCAATAATTCTGAAGCTCTGACCAAACTCTGTTGTAATAAGGACTGCAGGGTTTGGACGATAGAAATATTGAAGAAAACACATTTTATTTCTGTATTTTCTCCCTTCCTAATTCTTTACTAATTGGGTTCATTTCCACTGCACCAGTCT